GTCCGGCCCCCTCGCGGGGCGGCCAGTCCCGCCCCCCCGGCCACGGGGCTGGCCCCCCATATGCATCCCCTCTGCAGGTGCCTCGGGAGGGGCTGCAGGGCGGCGGGAAGCTAGCATGGCTGTGCCTCCTTGGCCATCACCAGGCTGGGGGCCGAGCCGCCTGCCCCCAGCACACATGGCTGCCCCAGGGACAGGGCTGGCGGCCGGCGCTCTGCTCCTGGCCTCCCAGCAGAGCCGGTGGGCTGCGGGCCAGTTCGGGTGGGGACTGCGGGCACAGGAATACCGGTGGCACAGGCGGTGCCATGGGCGTCTTGTGCTGGGTGACTGGGGCTGGCCACAGGGCCTGCGGCGACGCCGAAGTGCTTGCCATGAGCTCAAGGGTGTTTTCCTCCTGGGCTGCCTTGGCTCCATGGCTGCGCTGCTTGCGCTGCGGGCTGCCAGAGCTCGTCCTGCTGGCTGAGGCTGGCTGGCCTGGAGGGCCCCACTCCCACCCCGGGCAGGGGGGAGCCACCATCAATCATCCCTGGAGGGGTAGGAGCTGCGGAGCCAAGTGATTTCCTACTGTCGGGAACCGTGGAGCGATGCCTGGAAGCGCTGGGACGTGCTGAGCTCCTGGCTGAGCCTGCCAGGGGCACAGCCAGGCCTCCAGCGTGCTGTGCCACGCCACGGCCAGTGCCAGGCCACGCTGGGGGTGGAGGCGGTGCTGAGGGACGGGTGCTGCCGTCTCTGCCAGCCCCAGCCCGCCACTGTCGCGGTGTAATGGCGCCATTGGTGTGATGGGCCCGGGCTCCTTGGGGTGCGCATCGGCAGCCGCTTCCACACACCGCGTCCAAACGAGCCTGAGCCCACAACAAACCCTCGACAGCCCCGTTGGGATGCACCCAGCGGGCACCGCTGCCCCGTCCCGGTGGGACTGCCTGGAGCAGGGCTGGCGGGGCTGGCCAGCGCAGAGCAAGGTTCGGCTGCGATTGCCGTCGCCGTGGGCCAGGGCTGGTTTTTCCCCATGGGTACCGGCACTGGACACGGTGGGCAGAGCCCCTGGCGGGGCAGCAGCTGGCGTCCCTGGTCCCCGGGCTTGCGGGAGCCACGGGCAGGGCCCGCACCGGGGGT